AGGGATGATTTACAGCCTTTTTACCTTGAACATATTCACTATTTTGGATTTTGTTGAACCGATTCAGTTCTCTCCTTTTGAAATTCTTCCCTTACTCAAATAACTAAAGAATCTGAGATGTTATCAATATAAAGAGAAAAAATTTATATTTATTTCTTACACATTTGCAAACACATCAAAAAGAATATGTATTCCAGGCAGTGTAGGTAAAATTATTCAGTAAAACTTTTTTTCTTGGGGGTGTGTGTGTGTAATAGGTAATTTTTCACATATCTTAATTTACAAAGAATAGGATTCTAAATAAAATATACTAAAACATTCCTAGGTGAAATGATCATTTAGATTACACAGCTCAGAAGGAAAATGATTACTAACACAAATCATGAAAGATAGCTATAGATATGTTTCAGTATCTGGCTTTTCAAATTTCAGTTAAGACAGGAGCATTACATTTAATTTAGGAAACAACAATTTAATCCTTAGAAAGGAAAATTTGCAGAATACCAAACCAAAATGTATATAAGGATTATGTTAAAAATGAAGAAACCCCCCCAGCTTTGTATAATATTAAAACACAAAGAGTATTCTTAACATTTTAAGCTATACTGATAAAAAGCAAATTCACTAATTTATTTAGTTGTAAAATGTCTATTTATTAAAATATTTTGGGTATAATAAAAATACAGATAAAAATTTTTATCAGTATTAGCCCACAATTATAAATCATCTTCCACAGCCTCTAAATTCTCTATAGAATTTCAAATAGCAAAATTAGGCATATAAATTTCAAATAAGAATCTTTATGAGGTTTCTCTGTTTCTGAAATAAAGATTTTGAGTATACAACATTACATTATTTCTGTAAATTGTTATAATTTAATAGTAGCTTCAGACAAAGGATGTTAAACAGGTAGTATTTCTAAGGCATCAAAAAAGCTCAATATAATCAATTCAAATTTGATATTGTGTTGTGCCCTATTTAAATAAGACTCTCTAAGGAATTACAGACTCTGTATTTATGCACTCTGAGTACATTTTCTAATTCAGATGAGTAGCCAGTTGTGTAACACCCAAGCATGAACAAAGTTTTATACCATCCTATATGAGAGAGAGAAAAAAATGACAATACCAACACTTCTATTTAGGTTGACAATAAATCAATCACGTTCGAACAACCTGAATAACACAATGACCTAAATATAAATGGAAGAAATACTTTTCCTTCATTTTTATAGAGACTGAATTTATTGATATTAGTATCTGGTTTGTCAAAGTGGCAACTATTAAGATCTAAAACTCATTTATTTTAAATGCATAGAATAATTCTGACTACTTACAGTCAATGTAACTGTTTTGAGCTAAAAAAGATAAACTTCAAAGATTTTGTAAGTATTAATGGCATTCTGAAACCTCTGGATGGAAGATTATTTAGGGGGGAGGAGTTTCTCTTCTCCATTGATAGCTTAATCCTTTTCCAATCAATTCTGATTTAACTATGGATCATGGGATAAACTCATTTTTTAATAAGTTCTTAGAAAGTTGTAATTGCTTCCAAAATCAGAAACCACAAGATGATATACTCAAACACTACCTCAACGTAATGTTGTTATGGAGATAGTTACAGAAAGGTGGAGAAAAGAGCTCAGCTGTGAACACAAGTTAACATACAATGGACCACAAATTAATAATTTGTTTATACAGTAAGACAAGAAAAAACATTCTGTACAAGAAGTCTAAAAATTCAGTTCTAGTTTTAATCCATTTCTATAAATCATAAAAACAAAGGGAAATAGAGATTTATTTCAGAAACTGCATATACCTGTGGAAAATGGAACACAAGAATTTCTTTTCAAGATTAACCTTAATCTCAAATAGAGTATGGCTAACTATTTATGTATTTTACATTTTGAAAATATTGTGAAAATCTAAAACATAAGAGCTGATAGTAATTGATGGTCTAGAAACACTTTCTGTTAAATAACACAAATAAATTCAACTTAAAAAATGCAAACTGGTAAGTCTCAGGGTTTTAAAATCTTTTCATTTCAAAGGTACAAAGTTACAGCACATGTATAGGATGGGCTTTAAAAATGGAGATATATGTAACTTTTCCATGGTGTTGGATTGTGTGCTTTCCCCTACTCCAAAGAAATGCCTACGGCTTACAATGTTAAAGAATCTTCACCACTCTGTCTATAATTTTCAACCAGAAGTCCTCAATGTGCCTTAAATAAAACTGAATATTAGGCATTTTATAGCTTTTGCAAAATGGCTGTGAAATCACATTATGGGCATACACATCTCTTTGATCTCATTGCACAAAATTCATAACTGTTCAATAATGCTATACCATTACACCACACACCTTCAACTATTTCCATTTTTCCTAAATTCCTTCCAAAATCAGCTTCCAAAGCAAAGCAATGTAACATCAAAAGTTCCTGAGAAGGCTTGTTACAAAAAAGAACAGCTTGGATACAAACTAATCTACACACATATCCATCTTCTGTTGAGCCTGTTTATCCCTCATCTCCCTCCATCACTCCTAAAGGTGGGTGCACTGGAGTAATGGAAAGAGAAGGCTCTTTCATCACCACACCCTCCCAGCACCTCCACCATTGGTCCTCAGACAGTGATTCTGTGTAGGTGATGAAAACCATAAGAAAAGAGAAGCTGTCGCTTTAAAATGCCCTGCTCTGTCCCATATCCCATGTGGAACCAACATCAGCAGCACTTTCCCATTACCATCAATGTGATGCAAGAGGCACCATCCTTTTATATACATAAAACCAGAAAACTTCAGCTTAACATTCTTTAGTAAGGATGAACAGGTGAAGCAAACGTGTCAGGAAGGGCGAAACCAAGCAACTCCCCACCCCTCCCCAAAAGGTACTCCAGTCTTGCACTCAAGTCTCTCTGTGCAACATCACCTCTCTACCCCTCCTCTGTAGAGCCCAGTTTAAAGAAAGGAGGGAGCCACTAACAAAACCTGAAGCATAAATGCGACGAAAATGCAATCTAAAGCCGGAAAGGTTTATTCTTCCAATCACACATATTAACTCTATTAAGAAAATGGCATCACTTTTTTTCCACCAAAAAAAACCCCGCAAAGATCATTAAAAGAGAGTTATAAAATAGCAAATATAGTGTTTATCTTATCTCAGATCAGTCCACATTACCCATAAGTTTAGTAGTTTCTGCACTTCCACCTCCCCCCTCCCTCCCCCTGCTTCTCTTGCATCGGATTTTCACGTTTTCTCATTGTCGGTTGAGTTATAAAAGGCTTTTGCCCTTCGAAAGTTTTAAAAAATAAATAAATATTAACTCCTTGGTCCCTGCAAAGTCAAAATGGACTTCAGGGGAAAGGCGGTACATACTTTTACCTTTAGCGAGAAAAGGGGGAGCATCCCGGATTTTTAGGGATTTTTTGCGATTTTTAAAAAATTTTTATTTGGTTATATGCCTGAGTTCTCCCTCCATTTTGGTTGTTTATGATACTGACAACAAGCTGTCCCTGCTCTGTGCCGATCTCCTGCTTTCATTTAGCACCCCCTCCCCCTACCCCCCCTCGCAGCCACACACCCCGGGCTCACACCTCCCCGCAGACCCCGCACCCCGACCCCGACTCGCCCACCTGAGGAAAGGGCAAAAACAAATTCATTTCTCCAGAAAAGAAAAACCTCTTTTGAAAAAGGGGCAAAGTTACCCCAAGTCACTCAAAGTGCCCCCCAAATATTGCCGACTGCGGGTTTCCGCCAGGCCCTTTGGGAAGCGACCTTCCCCCGGGATGTTTTGGTGGAAAATGCGGAGAGTTTACTCTCAAAACTGAATTTATATTAATTTTTCCCTTATTTTTCGGGTCTCTAATGTCTTCCGCTCTCGCTGCTGCCGCTGCCGCTGTCACAATATTCACAGCACCAGAGAGGAGGAGGAGGAGGAGGAGGAGGAGGAAAACTTTTCAAACTTTCCAGACCCTGAATAAAGGGTGTTTTTTTTTTCCCACCGACCTCACCTTCGGGTCCCCAGCCGCATCGCCCCCTGCCCTGTCAGAAGCGACTTCGGGAGTCCTCGCAGCCCCGCTTAATTATTTTATTTTATTTTTTATTATTATTTTTCTCTCTGGGGTCCTGAGCAGGGGCTGAGAGTAGCACAAACTTTTCCTCCTCCTGCCGCCGCCGCTGCTCCTCTGCCCCCTCAGCTAGTCCCATAATTTAAATAACCCTGATATTTCTCCCGCTAAACGCCTCTCCGCCGCCCCGGACCCCGGGAGAACTCACCGCGGGGCTTTAACATCCTCCCTCCGGCCCGTCCGCCGCCTTTACACCGCCCGCGGAATTTCTAATAATTTTTTTCTCATATTTCGGGCTGGACGCGGCGGGCCTGGAAATTGTTTCCTTACGCCTCTTTCCAGCAGCCATTGTAGTGTATGCGCTGCCCCTGCAGCCCAACTTGCAGCTGCCGCCGCCGCCGCCGCCGCCGCCGCCGACGTCGCGCCCACCGCCGCCTCCCCCGGCCTACTCTGCCACCGCCCCCGCCTCCCGTCGGCCCGCCCCCGACCCCCGCCCGCCGTTGAGCCCGCCCCCCAAGAGCGCTCCGCCCCGGGGACGGCCACTCGGCGCCGTCGCGGCCAGGAGCCGACCCGCCGATTGGTCTGTGGCGCCGCCCATCAAGCCGAAGTGTTAAGAGGCGGGCCGCGGCGCGGGGGGCGCGGCGGGGCGGGGGCATGGGCGGGGCCGTGCGCGCCGCCCCGCCCACTCCTCCCTTCTCGGCCCTCCTCTCGCCAGCCGAGGGCGGGGCGAGACCCGCCCGCCCCCGCCTCGCAGAGCCCCGCGCGGCTGTCAGTCTGTCAGAGGCGCACGCCGATTGGACGAGCGGCCGCCGGGGAGCGGGGGCAGCAAGTTGGGATGCGCGCTACTTAAGGTCCTGCTTCGTGAGCCATTGACGTGTTTGGAGCTGGAGACTGCCTGGGCGCTGGCGGAGCGGCGCCCCGAGGTGAGTGGTCCCCCGCCCCTCCCTCCGCGGCGGCTGAAGGCGAGAGGGACGAGACGGGCGCACCTGGGCCGCCGCGGCGTCCGGATCCGTTTCTGCTGCGCCGAGCCGCTCCCGCCAGACTTTGCCGCAGCACGGGCCCCTTCCTGTCGCTCCTCCAACGGCCACCCGGGTCCGTTCGGGCCGGGGGCGCGGAAGGTGACCTCTGCCTCGTCCGGACACCACCAGCTCGTCCTTCATTCTCCTTTTCTCCAGCCTTTGAAGCGCAGTCACCTGTCCCCACCCCCACCTCCTTGCATTTTCTTCTCCCCCTGCCCCTCTGGGCTCAGTCGCAGGGCAAAGCATGGTGTGCTCACCTGTGCCTGCCGTCCAGGATTAGACGCTGACGGGCAGCACCGCGGAGGCTGCGAGGCCTCGGATTCGCCTCTGACCAGGCTCTCCTTCGATCTCCCCGCCCCCCTCCGGTATGCCACCCTTGACTTCTTGCCCCTGCGCCTCTGCACGCAGCAGGGGTTAACGGCGTGGTGTGTGTCAGCTTCCCGATTTAGCAGAGCCATGGACCCTGCCGGGGCTCCAACCGGCATGTAGGCATGGACATGTTGAGTAACGTTCCCTTCCCCCTTCCTTTTCTAATCTACTGGAAGAGTGGGGACGTGAACCACTGGGTGGGAAATCAAGAACTGCTTTACCAAGCAGTTTGCCCTTTGGAGTCAGTTTTAGAGTTATTCCTCAAATGTGCTGTGGTTTTGCAGCCCCTCCCTCAAATCTTTGGTTTTCTTTCTGGTTATGCTCTGCGAGTGGTAGAACCTGTAACAGTACATTGAGGAAGTATTAATAAGTATAATAGATAAGGCCTCTTTGGCGGAGCATTCGATCTTGCTCTTCAGCCTGGCTCCTCACTGTATATTGACATTTCCTCTTCATTTCTAGTTAACACATGAGGAATTCATGCAAAGGAGAGGAATTTCGGAAATCCAAACTTAGGGTGACTTGTATTTAGAATCCAGAAGGAAAAGGAAATGAAATGTGAATAAATTCATCCAGCAAACCTGATCTGAGTGTATGTGATGTAACCTAGGTATTGTTTTTAAAGAATTTCTAACTGATGAATATAAAATACAGACTAGAATACTTTAAGGCACACAACTTGAATTTCATACAAGTTTGTCTGCCGCTGGTCCTTGTTCTGTGTTCACATATCATAGGATAGATATAAAAAAGGAAGCTGTGAATTTACTTAGTACCATCATCTCTCTTAGGAAGAAGTCAAACTGGACACACACAAAAAAAATTGCGTTCAGGAGAGGAAAAAGCTTCTAGATATAATTGGATGGCTGCTTGAATTTTCTTTTGCCCAAGATTTTTTTGGGGGGAGAGGGGGCTGGATATTTTCATGTATTGTTTGATGAAAATCATAAAATGATTATTTAGTGTCTATTAAAAGTTAACGGACCCCAAATAACCAAATTCTTTTCCATCCTCCTTAGCAAAGGTTGATCTATTTTAGCCTAGACATCTTGATCTTTCCTATAATAGAAAAAATTGGACAGGGTGACTCTTGATTGAGAATACCTCCACTTACCATGAGTTTATGGGATTTGTTTGTTTTTCCTGAATACACTTCGTGTCTTTTAACATGACTGATATTTTTCGATGGTCCTACCTAGGGTAAGGAAAGCAGAAACCATTTCATTCAATAATTCTGACCTCTGTCTGGTTATACTAACCAGTTTAATTCAGTGGGATTTTGTAAGTCACACTGGATTATTTTTGCTGGCTTCTCCATTGATATTTAGGTAGAAGGATGATTAAGCTAGAACAGGATTCAGGAGTACAAGTTAGATCAGTTCCTTAGGCTTACTTCAGAGCATTTAAAAATATTTTGGGGTGGTTCATCAATAGTATACCAATATATTGAAACAGAAGTCACTTTGAAATAATCATTTTGGTATTGATTTTTGAATTTTCTCTTTTATTTTCTGTGACATTTCTTTGAAGATAATAGGCATACCAATTTCAGTTGATTCCATTATTGAGAGCAACTATATTCTGGGATATAGTTGGCATACCTGTTACCCAAGTATATGACTTGACTTGGAATAATTAATTGGCTCTTTGGGAACTATGATCATCTTTAATTTATACTTTTGCAAAACTGTATCTCTAAGACTTGAATTGGAAGATTACTTAACCACAATAGCATTCTCTGACTTCCTTCAAGTCAGGGAAATATCAATTAAATAGGAGATGCCATTGGAAGTAAAATTTCAACTTTTTTTTTTTAAACTGGCTTTTTGAAATGTCAACTAAGCAATAAGTTGGCTTTTTGATATATTGGCTACCCTGGTATTAGCCACACAGTAGGCACTCTGTACTTTAGTTGATGAATGATTTTTCTAAAGTTAGGTTGTACTAAATTATTCCATTCTTATTTTGTTTGCATTTATGCTGATAAATGTATAGTAAGGAAGTAATCGTTAGAATACATACTATATTCTTAGATTTTGTTAATACATTTAATTTCTTAAACTTAAGAGTAAACTACAACTGAATTATGGTTGAACTGTCCTTTTTACTGGCTATTATAATCAAATTTTAGTAGATGAATTTCAGTGTATGGCCTTTGTGTTGAGGCACCATGGCAAACAAAGGAAAAACACAAGCAAGTTTTTATTCTCAAAATACACGGGTACATGTTCCTCACTAGATGATTATTATGCCAAAATTAAATTTTCAAGTGGGGCTTTTGAGAGCTATTGATTTCTTGTCATTCATTGTATAACTGTTTTTTCTCTGTCTCCCTTCAGTAAAGAAGACTGTTAGGATGCCCTTGGTAACGCGGAGGCTTAGAGACCCTGACATAAACCCTTGTTTGTTGGTAGGCTAATTTGCTTTTAATTTTCATGAGTGCTAAGTTGGAAAAACAAGCTTCTTCTAGTTTTGTGGGCATCTGTTTTCTGCAGTTGTTGAATAAAGTTATTTCTATATAAAAAATTGCTGGTTAGTGCATTATTATTTCACTAGAGCATTTTTATATATTAATAATTTTGCTAACAAAGATTCATCTTTAGTTTCCCATATTTGTATACTCAAGCATTTAGTTGTCACTGTAAAGCTGGACAGGCGTATGTAACACTGAGGAAAATCTTTACTTCAAACATGGAAAATTGGAAGGTATGACATTTTTGCACCATCACTGAAATTTACTGTTTAAATAGGAATAATTTCATTATGTTCTTGAGACAACCTGGCTGAGAGTAATGGGCTGATAATAGAATTAGCCTATTCAAAACCTGAAGGTTTTCACAAAGGTGTCTTAACACAATTGTTTTGTTTTGTTTTTGAGATAGAGTCTCACTCGTTTGCCCAGACTAGAGTGCCATGCAGTCAGCCTAGCTCACAGAAACCTCAAACTCCTGGGCTCAAGTGATCCTCCTGCCTCAGCCTCCCAAGTAGCTGGGAGTACAGGCACATGCTACCATGTCCCAATGATTCTTTCTATTTTTAGTAGAGCTGGGGCCTCACTCTTGCACAGGCTGGTCTTGAACTCCTGAGCTCAAGCAGTCCTGCCTAGGCCTCCCAGAGTGCTAGGATTATAGGTGTGAGCCACCATGGGTGGCCAATTGTTTTGTTTTAATGATAAGCTTGTATTGGCATTTATTTGGTATGACTTGCAATACTTAACTTGTGGCTTTGCTACCTTTAAATAATGTCATCATACTGGTGCTATGAAAGTTATGCTTCCTGATCCCATGTGCATTTTCCAAATAGATTCATTAAATATTTGGCATAGAAACTTAGCTTTGTTCTTTATATTAGGTCAGTTTTCAACAGTTTTATTAAGTAAATTTGTTTGGGTAGAAGATGTTTCTTAGATCTGTGAAGCAATGCCTACCCGTTTAGTTAGAGCTTTCCTTTAGATGACTCCTCAGAGTTACACCTTTCACTTTGATGTTAGTTATCCAATCTACTTTCAGTTCAGACAGCTTAAGTTTAATCTCCAGGTGGTACCTGTTTTCCTTTCAACGCATAGCCCTATGTTGCCACTTTGGTTTTAAGTGATATTAATGATATCTATTAAAATTTGCATATGTAATAGTGTATTTACTTGTGGAATGAAGTAAAGGATAGCCAAAATTTTGTTGAGATAAATGGTGTTAATGTAGGTTACCCTTAGATATACCAGTTATTAGCAATTTACTTGAGACCTTGAAACCAGCATTACAATCAAACATTCAAGTCAGAGTGACGATTTGGAAAAGCAGGAGAGCTATATTGTGAGTCAGGAGACTGGGGGTTCTAGGTGTGCAGCAGTGATTTTGAACATATTTCACCTTGTCTCAGTTTCTTGTCAAATGGTTACTGGACTAATTGATTACAGTCAAAGCTTTGGCTCAAATTCCTATGATTCAGAAAACTGGCCCAGATGAAAATGAAGATGGCTGCCTGAGCAGAGTGAGTACTGGTATAGTTGGCAAGATTGTTCAGTTTTTGTTAGTGTCTACCCATTAAAATGAACAAACATGAACTATTTCCCATTATTTGCTTTGGGGGAAGCAACTTTAGTTTGTCTGTAGATCCCATTCCACCCCTCAAATGATGGTTCTTGTGTATTCAAGGAATCTGATGCTTCTGCCAGATGTATGGATGAAAATAACTATGACGGGGAAAGGTGTTCCACTTACTTCTTGAAGTACAAAAACTGTCGGAAATTCTGGGTAAGCCTTGCTTGATTAGCTTTACGTTAAAACCCATCTGTTATGCTGAAACTGAGGCCTGAAATGAAGTCAATACCCACAATCCTTTCCCAGTGATGGCTGTAGGGAAACTTAACCTTTCAACTTTATCCTCTGTGTGCTCTTTTAGCCCTAATGGATCCTCAAGAGCTCTTGTTAGCTGCCTCATCCTACTCTAAGCTATAAGAATGCAGTTTTAATATAGGTGGGTCTTTCTAGGTATATAAGTATCTATAGTCCTAGAACAATAGCCTTGTTATAAATTTAGTTTTCCTAGAGACGAACAGCCCTGCTGTAACACATCATGTTAGGCTTCTATTTCTGCCTCCTCCTTTCCCACTTCCATACATGGTAGTTAAAATGTGCTCATTTTTCTTAAGACATTGGTATATAATTTCTGTTTCCCTGAGCACCAGGCCCGGCTATTTCCTTTCCCTTTGCTAAATGCACTGTTGGTTTCATTTAGCAATTATTCAGTAGCACTTATTAGTGGACTAGATAAATTTTTTGTGCTTAGTACATGCACAGTATATCCCCATCCCAATTGCTGTTAATGTATTCCTATGGGAATAACCACTAATTTTTTTTTATTTTAGCATATTATGGGGGTACAAGTGTTAAGGTTACATATATTGCAATTGGGATGGGGATATACTGTGCATGTACTAAGCACAAAAAATTTATCTAGTCCACTAATAAGTGCTACTGAATAATTGCCTCCCCCCAGCCACTTCTATTTAATTGTCACTAGTTTGAAAACATTTATGTGGAATCTATAATTAGTTTTTTTTTTAACTTTGTTTTTGGAATTTCCATTTTGAGGAAGCAATAGCAAATCACTGGCAACTGATTAGCATTTAATACATGACTGATTTTAGTTTCTTTTTTTTATACCTATACGCAGAATTCTATCATGATCCAGAGAAGACAGAATGGAGTGAAGCCACCTATGCCTACAGCAGCAGAAAGAGATGAAATCTTGGGAGCAATGGGAAAGATGCCCTATTGAATGTTGCATTAAAATTGTTTATATAACTTAGAAGCAGATGAATATTTTTAATAAATTATTGCGGTAATCGTTTAAGACCTTACAGGCCTCACCCAGACGGACCTTATGTTGTACAAGGGGGGATGGAGTTAAGTCAGCCCAGAGTCCCGTGTGCTTGCTCTCAGTGCCAGGCCCACAGTCGCCGCTGCTGGCTGTGCTGTGGCACTGAGCTGACACGACTCCTAGAAGTAAGGGAGTGTTAGGGGAGGCTGCCCGCAAAGCTGAGCTTTTCTACTTGGTCTCAAAAGAAGAGTAAGATGTGAACAAATAGAAACCTAATGAGGCTGAGAGGAAGGCAGTATTTCCAAGAAAGGAAATGATGTGAGCAACAGTGTGCTGGAAGGAAAGCTCGAATCGTGTTTGGGAGCACCCTGTAGATGGTTTGACCTAGAGTTTTAGGGAAGAGGGAGGAGTGAAGGGGCAAGATTGAAAAGGTAAGTTGAAGGCAAGGGATGTGTGGTGGGCCTCAAATCCCAAGCTTCTTCCTCAAATCCATCCTTACTTCTCTCACTTATCTGTGTTTAAGTAAGGTTAGTACATTCACTAACGTGGAGGGGGAGAACGTTTTGTCCAAAAATAAATGGCATGAAACAGAACTGGTTTTCTTTCTTTTCTTTAAGGGCTTAGTTACAGGATTCTGTGACTAACATCCATAAATACTGGTTAGGCTTCGGAGCTGTAGTATCAGTTCTTTAGCCATAGTAATAGGAAAAAGAGAAATTGATTCCCTTAGAAGTAGGATTTCTATTTGCAGGATGAGATGGACAAGGAAGTGTGGGGGTTCATCAAGTGAACTCAACACTGGCATGAGAGTAGAGCTTCACTTCACTTTATGATATAAAAACAATGAGAATATACAGTATATAACTGGGATAGATTGTGTAACAGCTCTCCTTGTGCCCACTGCCTTTTAAAATCCAGTTTGTGGCCGGGCGCGGTGGCTCACGCCTGTAATCCTAGCTCTCTGGGAGGCCGAGGCGGGCGAATTGCTCGAGGTCAGGAGTTCGAAACCAGCCTGAGCAAGAGCGAGACCCTGTCTCTACTATAAATAGAAAGAAATTAATTGGCCAACTGATATATATAAAAAATTAGCCGAGCATGGTGGCGCATGCCTGTAGTCCCAGCTACTCGGGAGGCTGAGGCAGGAGGATCGCTGGAGCCCAGGAGTTTGAGGTTGCTGTGAGCCAGGCTGACGCCACGGCACTCACTCTAGCCTGGACAACAAAGCGAGACTCTGTCTCAAAAAAAAAAATAAAATAAAATCCAGTTTGTTTCATACACAGAATAGTTTTATACAGACATGTTATTTAACAAAATTTAATGTGTACTTAAAAACAAATTGCCCGTCCTTCTTTTTCATCTGGTCCTAGATCCAGAATATGATTTTATTATTTTATGTTTTTGTAGATATGGAATGTCTTGCTAGGTTGCCCAGGGTGGGCTTGAGCTTCTGGCCTCAAGTGATCCTCCTACCTTGGCTTCCCAAAGTGCTGGAATTACTGGTATGAGCCACCGCTCCTAGCTAAGAGTATTATTTTAGTGGCTGCTGACAGTAAACTACCCATCTGAATCCAAAACCAAGTTCAGAAGTTTTTAAGCTAGGCGGGGCGCGGTGGCTCACGCCTGTAATCCTAACACTCTGGGAGTCCAAGGTGGGCAGGTCATTTGAGCTCAGGAGTTCGAGACCAGCCTGAGGAAGAGCGAGACCCCCATCTCTACTAAAAATTAGAAAAAAAAAAATTAGCCAGGCATGGTGGCCCATGCCTGTAGTCCCAGCTACTTGGGAGGCTGAGGCAGGAGGATCGCCTGAGCCCAGGAGTTGGAGGTTCCTGTGAGCTAGGCTGATGCCACGGCACTCTAACCCAGGCAACAAAGTGAGACTCTGTGTCAAAAAAAAAAAAAACAAGTGAGGAAGAAGTTTTTAAGCTATATGACTTTGATTGTTAAATTGGTTCTATTTGAATAAGAAATGGATTATTTCAAACATTCTTTTGTATGGATTACTATAAAAATGGTGGATTAAAATAAGACTTGAAAAGAATTAATACATACTATGTATGTGAGAAACATCTTAGTACCTTTAAGTGTGCTTGTTTTAAAGGGTTTGGAATTTTAATGCCATGTCTTTGAATATACATACCAGTATCAACATTTATTCTGTGGCTAATTGTCCAGACATAGCTCTTTAAAAAACATTTTTTTTTAAATAGAAATGGAGTCTCACTATGTTGCCCAGGCTGGAGTGCAGTGGCAGGATCATAGTTCACTGCAGCCTCCAACTCCTGGGCTCAAGGGATACTCCCTCCTGCCTCAGCCTTCTGAGTAGCTGGCACTCTAGGCACAGGCACATGCCACCACGCCCAGCTTTTTAAATGTTTTATTTATTTATTTTAACCACCTCGGCTTTATTGTAGACATGGACTCCTGCCTTAGCACCAGACACTCCTGCCCACTGGGCATCTGAATTGAGGTTGATTTAGGTTCAAAGACTGCAGCTGACTGACTGGTGGCTCTGTAGGAAGCTGTAGATCTGGAGCTTCTGGAAGAAACATTTAAATGCTCAAAACTAAGGTGGAGCTTAGGCCAAGACTGGACCTGGGTGCTAGGTTGGTCTGCATGGTTTGAGCTACCACCAAAGCCAAATTCCTAGGACTGGCACACAGAGTCCACACAAAGAGACTGGCCTCTTACTTGACCTTAAAATGCCTTTTTTAAAATAACAGCTTTATGGAGATATAATTCATATGCCATATATATCATCGATTTAAAGTGTGCAATTCAGTGGTCTTCTGTGTATTCACAAAGCTGTGCAGCCATCACCATAATTGATTTTAGAACATAGTCATTACCCCAAACCGAAACCCTGTACCCATTAGCACTCCCCATTTTCTGCTAATACCAGTCTCCCAATGCTTAGGTAACCACTAATCTACTTTCTGTTTATATTATTACCTATTCTGGACATTTATGTAAATGGAATCACAACATGGTCTTTTGTGACTGGCTTCTTTCACTTAGCCTAATGTTTTCAAGGTTCATTTATGTCGTTGCATGTATTCTTTATTCCTTTTTGCAGAATAGCATTCCATTATATGGATATACCACATTTTATTTATCCATTAATCAGTTGATGGGCATTTGGGTTGTTTCAACTTTTCAACTGTTAAGAGTCATGCTGTTTCTTGAACATTTTGTCATTTTGTCGAAGTCTTTATGTAAACATTCCTTTCTCTTTGGATATATACCCAGGAGTTGAATTGCTGGGTCATATGGTAACTATGTTTAACTTTTTGAGAAATAAACAGTTTTCCAAAGTGGCTTCACTGTTTTTCAATCCCACTAACTGCATGAGAATTCCAATTCTGCATCCTCATTAACTTACTGCCTTTGATTAGAGCCATCCTAGTGAGTGTGGCTGGTATCTGCTTTTGGTTTTGATTTTTCATTTCTCTGAGAACTAAGGATGTTGAACATCTTAATAAGCATGTTGGCCATTTGTATATGATCTTTGGAGAAATGGTTATTCAGAATCTTTTGCATGCTTCTGATTGGATTGTCTTAATCATTAAATTGTAAGATGTGCACTAGATACAAGTCTATCATATATGAGGTTTGCAAATATTTTCTCTCATTCTGTGGGTTGTATTTTCACTTGATGTACTTCGAAGCACAAAAATTTTGTGAAACTTTTGTTTCCAATTTATTTTTTCTTTCGTTGCTTTTGGTATCATACCTAAGAAAGCATTGCCTGGTCCAAGGTCACAAAGATTTACACCTGTTTTCTGCTAAGAGTTTAGCTTTTACATTTATGTCTTCAACCTATGGAGTTGTATGAGGTCAGAGTCCAGCTTCTTTCTTTTCAATATGGCTACCCATTTGTCTCAACACCACTTATTGAAAAATACTTCTTTTCTCCAACTGAATTATCTTGGCACCCTTGTTGCAAATCAACTGATTGTATATGTGAGAGTTTATTTCTGGACTTTCAACTCTATTCCATTGATCTGTATGTGTCTATCCTTATGTCAACACTACACTGTCTTGATCACTGTAGCTTTGTAGTGATGGCATAGTTCTTTGATGATTGATTTCTATGTAGTGCTTTTCATGACAAACTGATTAATTGGAGATTTTTGATCAGCAAATCCTTGACGTATATGTAATGGCTCCATCCAGGCAAAACTGTTCAATTTTGAATTTGTCTTCAGTAATTCCTAATTCCTAGTTTGCTTCTTTATACCTACCCTGATAATTTGAGTATACTCTTCTTATAACCTGATTGTTCAAGATCTTATTACACTACTTTGTGGAGCAGACTCTCTGGAGTTTTTCTTGTCACCACTGTTAAATTTGCCACTATGATATTTCTCTTTCCAAGATTCTACTTTGGGAGAGGTGAAGCTGATTGACTTGATGAATTAATTGTGTTAAGATGTTAGTGAATGCCTTGAGAAATTTTGGTGTCAGACGAGCCTTTGATTTCCACTATCAACTAACAAAATACGTAGAAGGCGTTTTACTGTGTTCAGGGGCATCTCTCTCTTGTACAAAGCATCTCGTTACTGATTCTCAGTGGGATGGGGAAGGGTGGTGCACTGTGTCTGCATGTAAAAGCAACCCTTCTGAGAATTGCCATGTCTAGTACAGTATTTGTAACTCGTGTAGGACATAAACAATATCATTACGGTTACATACATAATGCCTGGTTTGCTTCTATTGTGTAATTAAAGATCAACAAATGTGTATGTTTGAGGAGGTGGCCGCTTTTTAACATTGAACACATTGAAAAACATGTAGGTTCAAACAATGCAAAAGGATATACAATGTACAATAAATCTGCCCCAGACACAGCCAATGTCAAGAGTTTTCAAGATTTTCCATGTGTATGCAGGCATATCTGTTTACACTTGTTTTATAAAAAATGAACATCATAGTAGATGAGCCATAGGGTACATTGTTTCTTTTATTTAATGATACAGTTTGGAATAATTTTCTGTCCGTGATTGTGGACTGACTCCATTTCTCTCAGTGGCTGCAGTTTCTATTGGATAGTAGACCATTATTGAGGTAATCTCCTGTTAATGAGTACACTATTATAAACAAGGTGGCAACAATCATTTTTGTACCTGGGTCTTTGCCTGTGCATGTTTTATCTATAGGATAAATTTCTCAGAGTGGAATTTGTAAGTTAAAGGTTTCTGTATTTAAAAATTTGTAGATAAATCACCTTCTGAAGAAGCACATCCATTTATCCTCCCATAAACAAAGCCTGTGTGTATTTCTTTTTTGGCACTCTCAGTCCCACCGGGTACCTTAAAACTCTTTCATCCTTACTAATCTGATGAGTGAGAAAAGGAGTGGTTGTATTCCCTTCCTTTGCCCATATTTTTTAGATTGTTGATGTGAATGGTTTGGGGAATTCTCACATATTAAGATATTACTTCTTCTTTTTTGACAGAGTCTCAGTCTGTTGCCTGGGCCAGAGTGCCATGGGTCAGCCTAGCTCACAGAAACCTCAAACTCCTGGGCTCAAGCGATCCTCCTGACTCAGCCTCCCAAATAGCTGGGACTACAGGCATGTGCCACCACTCCCGGC